CACACACACACACACACACACACACACACACACACACACACAGAGAGAGAGAGAGAGAGAGAGAGAGAGAGAGAGAGAGAGAGAGAGAGAGAGCAGAGGCATTGGAACGGAATACGATGGCAGAAGATGGGACAGGAATTCAAGGGGGGGGTGGGACAGATGAATATGAATAGACGGATACATGGGAATATATGTGGTTGAGATGGACCCTTGAAGAGTTACAGAAGTGACAACTGCATGAAATGGATTACATCTCTGTCGGTCTGGCATTATAAAGTAGAGAGACTATGATGCAGCACATGGCATTGCTTGGCATTGCTTGGCATTGCTTGGCAGGGCAGCAAAGTTGAACACCTTGAACTCCTCTTCCTCCTAAGACTTTCTAGAAGTCTATAACTCGATTTATTTGTGTGGTGCCTGTGCAGAATAAGAACACATGCCCCTATATCCATCGTCTACCTCTTCCCGCCCCCCCCCTCTCTGGCTTTGTCACTCAGAACACAGGCCCAACATAGGGTCCAGACATCATCTCCGGGAAGATACGAAATCTCTTCTTACTGAACCCGGCTTCCCTAAGTGGATGGGCGTCCTCRAATTCCTCACCATCCAGCCTGGATACCACTTCTAACATATCATCTACCTGGTACTCAAATGTTCTTACTTTCCCACCAGATTGAATAGAATCTTGAATCTCTTCCCTCGTCTTATCATCCACCAGACCCTGTGGGAAAAGAGACAGTAGAAACAATTCCAACTCCTTGTCTTTGACAATAAAGAATCTCCAATCATTGAGAGAAAATCCAGCATACCCGTGGCCTTGGTGAAGAACGTTGCTGTCATAATGGGTGCGGCCATCCTGTATGGCGTCTGTGATCTTTTGAACCAGCATTGGATCGTCAACTATTACGGCAGGGTCTGGTTTATATGAGTAGATGTGTAATGTCACCGAGTACTCGGGAGGCAGACATATAGGAAGATCCGATATCCCGACCACGAGAATCTTGCCAGACGAGTGGCGAATAGGTCCGCGACAACCAATAAGACTCCTGCAGAAGTCGGTGTAAGGATCGCAAGAGTCCTCTTCCGAGAGAGGATTACTACTTCCTTGCCTCTGCACGCCGGTACATAGCCCAAAAAGGTTGTAGTTAGCGGAATRMGATGGAGCAAGGAACATTGAACGCTGTACATCGTTCATCAGACATGCCACATACTTCCTTGTCGACCGGGCCACCGCTGCAACATTGGCATCAGAACACAGGGGCACGCAAGGGGATTCCCCACACGCAGCAACAAGCAGGTGAAAGAAGAGCAAATTCATAACCAAAACCACGCAAGAAGAAGTGGGGCAGCTGCTGGGATTTTGTTGCAGTGAAACCGCCATGACAACATCAGCCGTGTAATGACAGAGGGAAGACTTGTTGTTTGCACGTTGTTTACGTCCGAGGGAAGACACACAACCCAACGAACGCCCTTTTCACCTGCTTTCTGCAAGCAATCACAGCCAGGTGCATCCAGGGCTGGTCGTAATTGCTATCAGATATTCCTCCAGGAGAATTATGCTCTGGCTCACAGACACCCCTCCTCTGCTGCACGGGCTTCTTGTCGCAGCAGCTTGGCAAGCGCGACAGCTAGGTCCACAACACGGAGGATCCAGTCGGGGGTGACAGGAAACTCCTTCAGGCGCATCTTGGACCAAGACTCATAGGGGTTAACCAACAAATTGCCCAGCCGCAAGAGAACTTTCACAGCTCCCTTCAGTCAGTTCATAACCGTGCACCGGCGGAAAATCTTTAAGGCCTCGCCTGCCTCAGCCACTCTGCAGAGGCAAAAAAAAGCAGTCTAGGCCTCACCTGTCTTAGCCACACTCTGCCGACAAAAGAAGTCTTCTAGCCAATCAGAGACCTTTTTTTTCCGAACTCCTTCAGCATGCTGTTTCAGTTCATTTCATCATATCACTGAGAATCAGGAAAGTCCTGACAAATCAGGAAAGTCGTCACGAATCGGGAAAGTCCTTACGGATTGGGGAAGTCATCACGAATCAGGAAAGTCGTCGCGGATTGGGAAAGTCCTCATGAATCCGGCCAGTCCTCATTGCCTTGGTGCCTTTCCCGCTATCATAAATGCAGTGAGAAGCCAACCCATCTTCACATCCCCTTGCTCCCCTTCACCAGTCCCTTCATCATTGTGAATCAAGGGAGTCCTCACGAATTGGGAAAGCCGTCACGAATCGGGAAGTCCTCACAAGTCCTCACGAATCGGGGAAGTCCTCATGGTCGTGGTGCCTTTCCCACTACTGTCTTCACCCGAATAGAATGCACGGTCATTATCGCTGTACCTAGACTCAAAGTTGCCCCAAATACGTCTATATTGACCGGGCATTGTATTTGGGTGAAGACGAGCACCAATGCACCGATAAGCCAACCCGTCCTCACATGCCCTTGCTCTCCTTCGCCAGTCAAGGGAATCTTCACAGTCGCCCTGGCCTTCGCCAATCACTGAATCTCATTGTAAGTGCAGGCTGTCTTCACATCCTTGCCCGCCTCTGCCAGTGGAAGAAGATATCAGTCAGTCTTTACTACTCTTTAGGGAAATCACAAACTCCCCCCCCCCCCAAAAAAAAAAAGAACTCCATTGCACTGCTACATTTACCAGAAGCGCAATATGATTTATTCCCATACAATGATACAACACAACACATCTTAATAAAAAAAAGAAAAAAAATATTTAATATATATATCGTCACAAACAGAACTTCCCGGTAAACCGTAGGCAGAGAGAGAGAAGAGGACAACAAACGAGGGGCTGTGACAAACTGTTTCGTCGGAGTTTCACCGACTCATCAGGAGGCTGAACCCTCAACAGTCTGCAATATATATATATATCAGTAAAACTGAGATTTCTTTTTGCATCACAAAATTGTGGTTCGGTTTCATATTGAGGATTTACATGCCCCCGTCTGTCTTTGCAGGTGCTTGCACACTCTGTGTTTAGAACGAACAACGTTTGGACGTCATGCGTGTGACGGCCTACGTAGTAGAAAGTTGTTGTGCACAACTCCCTGTGGTAAAAAAACTGAAAAAGCAAAAAGAAACTTAGTTGTTGAGGTGTTAAAACTTACAAGAAAATGTTCATTTTAACGAAATCACTCATCTACGTGATCTTTGATCATGTTCGATGCTGTCAGACTCCAGGGCAAGGTCGAACTCAGCGCAATTCTCTGTGTCCCTACTCTATTGTTTTCTGCGGCCCATAGCTGGGCCAAGTACTAGTGGTTTCTGCGCCCAAATTCATCCAACTAGAAACGTTTCTACTCTATTGTTTTCTGCGGCCCATAGCTGGGCCAAGCACTAGTGGTTTAACGTCCGTCCACTTTATGGAAACTGCACGCGTATGGTCAGGACATTGGTTTTACGCCCTGGAATTGTATGCAGAAGTGGGTGTGGGCATTACATGCAAAGTGGAGCACCGAATTCACCGAGCAGTTTCTCGATTTGTGCAATGTCATCGTTGGAAGCCCAGGGAACATGCTAATCTTCTCTGTATCGCTAGGACTTCAAATGTCTGTCCTGGAGGATAATTCACGGAGGATTCACTTTCCCACTGAAGGATTATTCTTCTTCTTTTTTTTTAACACGTCACTTTATTATATGTGCTGGAAACCGGGTCCATCGTCCCTTACACACAGAATTAAGGGAGATCCTCAAGGGATGCCACAACCTGCAGCCAAACCTCAGTGCCATTCTGGTCTCCATCCCGGACGACTGGGAAGGGAAGCTGAAAAGAACCAGCAAATGGGCAATGGGCGACTGGGCGACAATGACAACCGAGGAGCAGCAACAAATCAGCTCAAGCTTTCATTTTACGTGCAAGTCCCAATAGAAATGGATAGTGTTTGAAATGCACAACATAGTTGGGCGAACTACCGTTTTCACCCGTATAGAACGCCGTATTTGGGGCAACTCTCAGTCCACATGCAGAGATAATGACCGGCGGGCTATCTATTCGCGTGAAGACGGTAGCCACGCCCAGGTAACAGTCAGGAAAGATCACCTCCATAAGACACAGATAGTAGAGAATGAGGATTACACATTGTCAATCTTCGACCCTACAGTGCCTATCCAGGATCTACCTTCTTGCCCCGAATACAACGCACGGTCATTATAGCTGTATTTAGGGCATCTTTCAGTCTAAATACAGCTTATAATGATCGTGTACGTTATATTCGGGGGAAGAAGGTGGAAGTGGACCTGGCGGAGTGTGCCTGCAAACTCCAGGGAAGAACAGGCGCGGCGATTTTACCTCCTCCAACATACAACAAGACTCTGGGTTACAGGGCAAGACGGCGATCCATTGCAGCGGGGGGACATAATAAGCCAAAGACGGTGGAAAGGCTTAGAGATCAACCTCTCAATCCTACCCAGCACACCTCGTGCGGAGCCCTGGTGGCTATAAGAAACACTAGGGTAAGGGCATACTCACACCAGTCCCTCAAAATCCGAAAACGGCAAAACAGCGGCCAGATTGACTCCCTCTGAAAAAGGAGGACTAGATCTGGCCGCGCATTTTAGGGTTCTGCCGTTTTGAGGGCCTAGTGTGAGTATGTTCTAAGACGTATGCAGTGGTTTTGGTCACTTACCACCTTGCAATACCTGTAAACCAATGGCTAAACCATCACAGACGCCCACGACACAGAAGCCCTCTCGGGAAGTTCGGTGCTATTTGCTATTCGCAACACGGGTCAAGTGGCGAATGTGATGCACTGCTGCTTCCTATCCTGCCCCAAGGCCAAGGAACGATGGGAAAAGGCATCAACTTTGTTGCAGACAGTGGTCCGCAACAACCCCTTGGCAGCCCACAATCTGATATTACGCACAGGCTTTGTCATGCCAAAGCATTTGGAGGGGTACCAGCGTAAGCTCCTTTTTTCAAAAGGGCGATGGCCTTGAGATATCAACTTCAAACTTACCAGCCCCAGGTAAATTCAGAGTTATTTACTCGTCGGAGTTCATTGGGATTCGAAACGAGGCTTGTATTTCAACAGTCCATGGGTGTACCAACTGAGCTAGGCCCGTCGGTGGGTACCAGTGCAAGCTATTTTACAGGACAAGACCGTTGGCGCTGTGGGTGTACTAACTGAGCTAGGCCCGGTGGTGGGTACCAGTGCAAGCTATTTTAAAGGGTAAGACCGTTGGCGCTGTGGGCGATTGCAAGCGGAGATGCCAGGAGATAGTTGACAAAATGAGGCATCCGGTGGCACAGAGGCATGGGAGGGTTCCTTCAGCAGCTGGAAACAGAGTATGAGACAGACTGGGTCAGGACCAGAAGGGAAACGTGCAGGGACGCGGACAAGGCGCAGGAGATCCAAAACAGATTTCTTCACAAAGTGCTAGGGGCGGGTAGAATCGGCTCACTGGAAGAGGGGTCCATCCTCTTCAAATGGAAGCAAGACTGGATGGGAGCTTGGATACCCGCACGTGATCAGGACGGGACCTCGGTCCATACATGCAGAGCTCGCCAAGTCTTAGCATAGCTTCGTCCTAGGGATCGGAGGGCACAGGGCAGATCAGGGGCACTGGACCCGCTCTCTCTCTCTCTCTCTCTCTCTCTCTCTCTCTCTCTCTCTCTCTCTCTCTCTCTCTCTCTCTCTCTCTCTCTCTCTCTCTCTCT